AAACGAATGATCCGATTGGTTTGTTAATCTCCACCGTTTCTTTTTTAATTAATTAATTTTGTTTTTTTGACCAACTATTATTATTTTTATTTTTAATACATTTCAAGTCCCAATCCATCTTCTTCTCCAACTAAACTACTGTAGCTCTCCCAGTTCTTTCCATTAATAAATTTTCGTTGATTCCTATAGAAATCTCTCACGAATTCGTTGTTTCGTTCGTCTTATCGTCGGATTCCGATTGAGTTTCTGGGTTTTTATTTGGTTATCGCTACTAGATTTGTGCGTTTGTTTTGGATGATTGTAGTTCTCGGCTTATGATCTGGAGGTAGTAATGTCTGTTCTTATCTTCCTTATTGTTCGATTCTTATACTCCCCTGCTTCTTCTCCAATTCGTTTTTTGCTTCCTCCTCTGATCCTGATCTCTTGATTTTATTCGGCTCCTGCTTGTGGATTTAGGTTTTGGAGTTTTGAATTTCATGTCGTTAGGGTTTGATTTTGTTTTCTGGTGTGATTATTTCTGGCAATTTTTGGAATTGAAATGCATGGTTTAGTTTCTGTCTCACTTCTTCTCATTGCGGATTTGTCTCTTATCACTATTTTGGGTTCGTTAATGGCTTTGATTGCTCAGTCATATCTGCAATGGCTAACAAAAGCTTTGCTCTTTTTTTTGTTTGTTGCTTTTTTGGGTTTAGTTAATGGCTACGGAACCTTTGCACCTGGTATCGGTGCAGTGACGGATAATTGAATATCAAAGAACTTTGGCCGACGGAGATTTTCTGCTTCTGTACTGAAGAGAAGGGAAGAGGAAGATGATAAACAAGACGCTTGTACTAACTTATATCTACTTACTGATCTACATTCTACTCTCTTCAGGAGTTATACTGTACAACAAGGTGATTGCAAAGGCTAATACTCTATTAACTTAAATCTAATGCTTAAGCAGATATGTGTAGTTGGCATAATTGTTGGATTTTGCATATCTACGATACAAGAAATTTGATGTTTGAATTGTGTGTCGGGTAGCCAGATACCTTTTTCTGTAGCAATGGGTGTCGAGTTGTATTCTTTCTTATTATCTGTCTCTACATAGGGATAGTATTGTGATGTTAAACATGAGATTGTGGATATGCAAGGGCTAGCTATAGCTGTATCTTTTGTTCCAGTGGAGTCTGACTTCTGAATCATGTTCCTTTTGTTGCTTTTAATTGCAGTGGGTTTTATCCCCAAAATACTTCAATTTTCCACTTCCTATAACACTGACAATGATCCATATGGGGTTTGCTGGATTTGTGGCCTTTCTTCTCATTCGCGTGTTCAAGGTATTCTAAACTCAAAGAGTAACATATACACTTCCAATTTTAGGTTATGCTTAGTTACTTTTCTCCACTTGTATGGAGTATGCTTGTGCACATCTTAGATGGAGTTCTCTTCTAAAATATACTGTATCTACTTTATGGATACTTTGATGACTCCTTTTGGTAGTGCGGTGATAAATTTTTCCTTTGTGTTGTAGGTTGTAGCTCCGGTTAAAATGACATTTGAAATGTAAGCCAGCTTACTTGGAATTTTTCATCTATTTTTTTTTTCCTCTTGTACGTAAGCCCCACCAACTCTCCATTTTGACAAATTTTATGGGTCCAGATATGCAACCTGTGTGGTACCTATAAGCGCATTCTTTGCATCAAGTCTCTGGTAAGTTCCTGTTCTATAGACAGTAAACGTGGTTGGTTTATTGCTGCTCTTCTTCCTACTATATTTGTAATTTATGAATTGGCCATCAGGCTCAGGCAAACTCGTTCTTTTCTAGTCATACTTGCTTCCTAAACTGTCCCTTCACTATTTCTTACTTTCCTTTGTGCAGGTTTGGCAATACTGCATATTTGCACATTTCTGTTGCCTTCATTCAGATGCTCAAAGCTCTAAGTATGTGAAAGCTTAACGTTTAAGCTAAATAATCTATTTTAGTAATAGACTTTCTGGTCATCTTACAAAGCATATTAATACATGACTATGGAATTTCAGTGCCAGTAGCAACATTTATCATGGCAGTTGTTTGCGGCACTGACAAACCAAGGTGTGACGTGTTCTCGAACATGTTGCTGGTCAGCGTTGGAGTTGTGATTTCCTCTTATGGGGAAATTCATTTCAATATAGTTGGAACGGTCTATCAGGTGACAGGCATCTTTGCTGAAGCACTCAGACTGGTGCTTACTCAAGTTCTTCTCCAGAAGAAGGGTTTGACATTGAACCCTATTACCAGCTTATATTATATAGCTCCCTGCAGGTATTTACTCCTGAATCTTAATACTGCTAATTTTTTTTATACTTTAGGAATATAATATTTCATCAACCTTCCTAACCTTTGGTTCCCATTTGTCTAATTTTATTATGTCAAATCATTTTCTTTCATTCTTAATGTCATGCATTGTTTATTGCTAGATGTAAAGTTCTATCTCCTCTATTGCACATTAATACCCATAATCTTTTCCTTGAAACACTATGCTTTAATCTTGTGCAGTTTTGTTTTTCTGGCCTTGCCTTGGTATGTGTTGGAGAAACCTACAATGGAAGTAGCACAGATCCAATTCAACTTCTGGATCTTTTTCTCCAATGCTCTATGTGCCCTTGCCTTAAACTTCTCGATTTTCTTAGTAATCGGGAGAACAGGTGCAGTAACAATCCGGGTGGCTGGTGTTCTGAAAGACTGGATTCTCATAGCTCTCTCCACCGTCATTTTTCCCGAGTCCACAATCACAGGGCTGAACATCACTGGTTACGCAATTGGTAGATTTCTTCATTTCACAACAAAATTGATTGCTGTATACATTTATTCTTTCCTTCTTGACTGTGTTTCCCATGCTTTACATCGTTTAACTATCTATTCCTGTCGTGTGTTTGACACAGCGCTATGTGGTGTCGTCATGTACAATTACATAAAAGTAAAGGACGTGAAGGCGTCTCAACCAAGTGCTGACAGTCTCCCAGATCGAATCAATAAGGTCAGTTAAACATTACCAACCTCTTAACTCTCTGTCAGGTAGAGGTTATGAACTCGGTTCTTCTCAGGCTCGTTTCAGATTCCCTCAAGTCCATAAATAGGCGCAGTTAATCTAGAAACCCGATAGCCTCCCATTTTTTAACCGATATGGATTCATAGTAATATCATTGTCCTTCCAAAAGAACTTCTGGATTTGCAAATTATATTCTTAAACAGTTATCTTATTTTTTGTATACATAACAAATGATGAACACAGGAGTGGAAGTTGGAGAAGAAGTCTTCGGATAAATTCAATCCTAATGACAGTGTGGAGATCCCAAGAGGTGGAGCCGAGATAAACGACGAGGAAGCTCCTTTGATCACATCCCGGTTATCTCATATTGGTCGGACGCAGCTCGGAAATCATGCCGCTTAGGATGCTGGTATAAACACATAATAGAGGTTTTGCTTCCCAATTCTAGTTTTTTCTTTTGTGACAAATCTTTGAAACCAAAAGATAGGTGAAGCTTCATCCTGGACCGTGGCTGTGACTTGAAGAGAAAAAATGTTTTTCTCTTCAAAATTAAGAAATAGAATAGCGGAAATTATTTATTATGATTAGCTTAAAAACGTAAAAGTCCCAAATTAGTTTTGTAGTGAACGTTGAAGTAATGGTCTTTATTTTTCCCTTCATCAGTTCATTATCGCTTGCTCTGTTATAAGCCAACAGTTTTGGCTTCTGAGATGTTTTTGCTTTTAATTTTTCCTCCGGGTGGGTTATGCGATGTTTTGACACAAAACTTGAAGTCGATAGTTGGGTACAAGTGAATATTAACCTCTGAAAGGTAATTTTTGGTTCTGAGCGTAGTGACTGATTCTCCAATAAAAGACTTCTGAAAGAATAGTTGTAACTTGTATGTTACTCACCATGAAAATTATGTTTATATATAAAAGTTTCAAACCTCTAGAAAGGAGAAGACAAAACGAATCAACAATAGTTACAATAACCGGATCACGTTCTTCGTTTTGTCAAGGTTATAGACTGCTCCAGCTCATAAATTGTCGAATGGAAATTCCAGCTGCATCCTGAAGTTTTCAACAATTGGACGAAAAATAAAAGAACCTAACGAGAACGTGAGAGTAGAACATGGTCTCCATTTTATACAAAAGTGATAAGTTACAAAAATACAAATAAACAAAAGATGAGAAAATATACAAACCCGCCAATCAAAACCCAGATTCAAGTGACTGGGTGAAAAAAAAAAAACATAAACAACCACAAGCCTTGGCAACCATCAAAGCACAATATGCCACCAACCCCTCTCTCTATCTCATATCC